ATGATAATAATCATAGTACCACTATTCATGATTTTTGTACCTCTATTTGTATCTAGTACCACGTTGCTCACTGTTTGGTACCATATGTGCTGGAAAATGTGAAGTTGTTTTGTTTTATCCAATCATTGTTAGATACATGGAAGGGGAACAAAGTGATATATTAGGGAGTTGTACCTACAAAAATGAATTGTATGCGTTCTTTATGCATCTTGGACTAACGTTTGACGAAGTGTACACTCTCATTGCTAAGAGGCGGCCAATTGTTAATTTGGAAACCGTCATGTTAAACTAAATCCAAAGAAAAAAAAAGAGTTAGTTTGTCCGATGATGAGGATGTGAAAACATGATTCGGTTACATGTTTGCTGGAAAGTAAATATTGTAGAGATACTTGTCATTGAAAGAAATAAAAGCCCGACCATTAGAAGAAATGAAAGACCGGGTGATGGAGTTCAATCCATCCCGATGAGCATGAGCGGGTAATGTTGCTTTCATCATATTAATGAACTTATTATTGTTATATGGTGTTTTTATCATATCATAGTAAATGTTAACCAAAATTAAAATAATTTATTTTCGTTCACAAAAGTAGGTACTAATCGACAAAAAAGAGGTACCGCGTTGAAGAAGATGCGGTACTATTTTGGCTTAAACATGTACTATTTTAAAAATCGTGATTTCTAATCCTTCATGTCTACCATGACACGTGGCTCGTTCATGCGTGATTTGGATAAAAAAAAAGTGGAAATTAAAATATAAAGGTAGAATTTGGAGTAGTCATGTATCATGATTCTATTAGATGAAGTGTGTCATTCAATAAAATGAAGTATATTAGTAGTGTTTTTCTCATTAGTGTGTCGAGCTCATGACCATTTTACGATTAAACTTAATTAATAATATTTTAAATCTCATATAAACTAATGTGAGAGTCATAATGGATCATATAAACATCATTTGAGACCAAAATTCAGTGCTTTTTTATGTTCGTCGGAGTTGGTACTAAAGACCCGATATCTGGTACTAAAACACCAAAAGCTAGTTATATCTAACTCTAGGGCGGGTACAAATTTTTGCAAATGTTGACCAAAAATTGAAGTAATCCATTTTCGTTGACCAAAAATAAGTACTAACTGATTAAAAATAGGTACTACGCAGAAGATGAAGCAGTACTATTTCTGTCAAAACTGGTACCATTCTAGTAATCATGATTTCTTTAATCCTCTATGTCTACCATGCCACGTGGATCGTTCACACCTGATTTGGTTGAGAAAATAGTGGAAGTGCAAACATATAAGTAGAATTTGAAGTAGTCATGTATGAGGATTCTATAAGATGAAATGTGTCATTCAATGAAATGAAGTGTATTAGTAGTGTTTTCTCAGTAGTGTTTTCTCATTAGTAATTACACAAGTCATGTATGAGGCTAAAGCAGGTACTATTTTAAGAATTGTGATTTCTCTAATCTTTCATGTCTACCATGACATGTGAATCGCTCACACGTTATTTGGATAAAAAATAGTGGAAATTAAAACATATAAGTAGAATTTGGAGTAGTTATGTATGATGATTCTATAAGATGAATTGTGTAATTCAATGAAATGAAGTGTATTAGTAGTGTTTTCTCATTAGTGTGTCGATTTCATAACCAATTTGCGAATAAACTTAATAAAAAAACATTTTAAATCACATATAAACTAATGTGAGAGTGATTATAGGTTTTATAAACATCGTTCGAAAACAAAAATCGGTATTTTTATATGTTCATTACAAGTGGTACTAATGACCCAATGTCAGGTACCACAACAATATAATGTTGGTACTATATTACTCTATGTCTGGTACTACTTTTTGTAAATGTTGACCAAAATTGAAATAATCAATTTTCGTTAACAAAAGTAGGTACTAATCGATCAAAAAAAGGTACCACGTAGAAGAAAATGTGGTACTATTTTGGCTAAAACATGTACTATTTTAAGAATCACGATTCTCTGATCCTTCATGTCTAGCATGAAAAGTGGATCGTTCACGCATGATTTGAATAAAAAATAGTGGAAGTTAAAACATATAGGTAGAGTTTGGAGTAGTCATGTATGATGAATCTATTGAGATTAAGTATCTCATTCAACGAAATGAAGTGTATTTGCAGTATTTTCTAATTATTGTGTCGAGTTCATGATCAAGTTGCATTAAACTCAATTAAAAATATTTTAAATCCAATATAAACTAATATGAGAGTGATCTTGAGTCATATAAACATCATTTGAGACCGAAATTCGGTGTTTTTATATGTTCGTTACAAGTGGTACTGATGACCTAATATATGGTACTAACACAATAGAAAACTGGTACTATCTTACTCTAGGTCTGGTACTACTTTTTATACATGTTGACCAAAATTGAAATAATTTATTTTCATTCACAAAAGTAGGTACTGATCGATAAAAAAAAGGTACCACGTAGAAGAAGATGCAGTACTATTTTGGCTAAAACATGTACTATTTTATGAATCGTGATTTCTCTAATCTTTCATTTCTACCATCACACGTAGATCGTTCACGCATGATTTGGATGAAAGATAGTGGAAGTTAAAACATATATATAGGTAGAATTCGGAGTAGTCATGTATGGTGATTCTATGAGATGAAGTGTGTCATTCAATATAATAAAGTGTATTAATAGTGTTTTCTCATTTGTGTGTCGAGTTCATGACCAAATTGTGACTAAACTCAACTAAAAACATTTTAAATCTCATATAAACTAATGTGAGAGTGATCATGGTCATATAAACATCATTTGGGACCGAAATTCAGTGTTTATATGTGTTCGTTACAAGTAGTACTGATGACCCAATATCTGGTACTAACACAATACAAAACTGGTACCATCTTACTCTAGGTCTGGTACTATTTTTTTGTAAATGTTGACCAAAATTGAAACAATCCATTTTCATTCACAAAAGTAGGTACTAATCGATAGAAAAGAGGTACCAAGCAGAAGAAGATGTAGTACTATTTTGGCTAAAACAGGTACTATTTTAAGAATCGTGTTTTTTTAAATCTTTCATGTCTACCTTTTCACGTGGATCTTTAACGCATGATTTGAATAAAAAATAGTGTAAGTTAAAACATATAAGTAAAATTTGGAGTAGTCATGTATGATGAATCTATTGAGATGAAGTGTCTCATTCAACGAAATGAAGTGTATTTGCAGTATTTTCTAATTATTGTGCCGAGTTCATGATCAAGTTGCATTAAACCCAATTAAAAATATTTTAAATCTCATATAAACTAATA